GCGCTTACAAAGGTATGAGCTGGTATGAGGAGTTTAAAAAGGAAGTTGACATCACTGCTGGTGCTTTCAAAAAAGGATCAAGCAAATGCACAAACAAAAACATTGTAGCTGAGAAGAAAGTAGTAACGCTCATGTATGTGTTCAAAGGGCTTTATGGTACCTTAGCGGCCTTGTTCGGTGATTGTAGAAGAATTGGTCTCATTTGTCACTAAAACATATATGTGATGCTTTGCCAGCAAAAACAACTCACCACAGGTTTTCACTCTTGATTGTCATCTGGTTCAAGGAGGAGCTGTGTCACCACAGAAGTAAACTACTGAGTCTTTCCAGCGTTCAGTACAACAACAAAGATGCACACGTCCTAACACAGTGATGGCCCTTCTCCTGGACTGGAAGAAACTGCAATTTTAAAAAATCTAGAATTTTTGTTCCACTATTGTTTTTATCCCTGGATTGTTGAATGCAATAAAACGTAAAATATCTCTAAAAACGATCTATAGGGAAGCATCAAATTTCAATTTTTAGCGAAAAAATGTGAACAAATTTATCAAAATTTCACTAGTTTAGTGCTAAAAAGATATTTCTACAAGTTGTTACAATTAGTGGCAATAAACAAGGAAGAATATCAGTTCTGTAAACTTACATTATGTATATGCAGCATATATTTATCCATCATTTTCTATACACCCACATATTATTGTAATATTTAAAATCAGTAGTTTCATAGTTTCCTCCATCCATCCATTTTCTTCCACTTATCTGTGGTCGGGTCATAAAGGCAGCAGGCAGAGCAGGTCATTCCAGACATCCTTCCCCCAGCAATGCTTTCCAGTTCTTCTGGGGGATTCTGAGGTGTTCCCAGGCCAGCCGAGAGGTATAATCATTCCAGCAGGTTCTGGGTCTTCCCCGGGGTCTCCTCCTAGGTGGACATGTTCGGAAAACCTCCAGAGGAAGCCTCCCCAGAGGCATCTGAACCAGATGTCCATACTACCTCAACTGGCTCCTTTCAACGCGAAGGAGCAGCGGCTCTACTCTGAGCTTCCTCCGGATGTCCGAGCTCCTCACCCTATCTCTAAGGCTGAGCCCAGCCACCCTGCGGAGGAAGCTCATTTTGGATGCTTGTATCCGCGATCTCGTTCTTTCGGTCACGACCCAAAGCTTGTGACCACAGGGGAGGATTTGGGACGTAGATGGACTGGTAAATCAAGAGCTTCGCCTTGGGGCTCAGCTCTCTCTTCACCACGACGGTCCGGTACAGTGTCCGCATTACTGCTGATGCCGCACCAAGCCGCCTATCCACCTCATGCTCCATTTTCCCATCACTCGTGAACAAGATCCCGAGATACTTAAACTCCCTCGCTTGGGGAAACAACTCCTCCCCCCACCCAGAGGTGACAATCCACTGGTTTCAGGCAGAGGACCATGGCCTTGGACTTCGAGGTACTGATCCACATCCCTGCCGCTTCGCATTCGGCTGCAAACCGCTCCAGTGCGTGTTGAAGATCACGGTCTGATGAACCCAATAGTACCTCGTCGTCCGCAAAAAGCAGAGACGCAATCCTGAGGTCCCCAAATCAGACACCCTCCTCACCTTGAGATCCTGTCCACGAAAACCACAAATAGGATCGGGGACAAGGGTAGAGTCCAACACCGACTGGGAACGTGTCTGACTTGTTGCCGAGAATGCAGACACAGTTCGCACTTTAGTTGTACAGGTAGCAGCAAGCCTGGTACCCCATACTCCCTCAGTACCCCCCACAGAGCCCCTCGGGGAACATGATCATAGGCCTTCTCCAGATCCACAAAGCACATGTGGACTGGCAGGTCAAACTCCCATGCCTCCCTCAGCAGCTCCGCAAGGATAAAGAGCTGGTCCACTGTTCCACAACCAGGACGGAATCCGCATTGCTCCTCCTGAATCTGAGGTTCGACAATTGGTCGGAGCTTCCTTTCCAGCACCCTAGAGTAAATTTTCCCGGGGAGGCTGAGAAGTGTGATACCCTGGTAGTTGGAACACACTCTCCGGTCCCCCTTTTTGAAAATGGGAACCACCACCCTGGTCTGCCACGACACAGGCACTGTACCCAACACCCACGCGACACTGAAGAGACATGTCAGCCATGACAGTCCAACAATGTCCAGAGCCTTCAGCATCTCGGGGCGAATCTTGTCCACACCTGGCGCTTTGCCACCGAGAAGCTTCTTAACTACCTCTGCGAACTTTACCACGGATATGGACGCAGAATAGTTTATAGTTTTGTGTAAATATCTTTCATTAAAACATTTAAAAAATACTCAGGATTTCATGCAACAATAAGGCTAGAAAATGTATTTTATTACATATTTGTCATTTTTATGAGATGGGTTATTTTTTACAGTGGAGATATTACAAATTCCAGAAATTCAAATCAACTTTACAAACTACAAAGACAAGACTGATGGAATTAAAGTGATTATTTTTAACCGTATACCAGTTTATATTGTTTGCATTAATAATGTACAAAATCTCATTTGTTGTTCATATAAAGCATCCAAGTCATTCAAACTAACATCAGTGTTATGCTTGAAAGTCAAATAATCATAAATTGGAAAATAAGTGTACGTGTTAGTGAACATTTATACTCTCCAGATTAGTTTTTGATAGTTTCATAGACTGTATTTGAGTTACAATCACACTCCTTCCCCTCTGCTCCCTGACTATTGGTGTAGATGGTGATTGTATCGGCGCAGGCTGATCTGAAGTCAGTATTCTGATGTGGGTGACTGACGGAGACAGACTGGTAGGCGTCTCTTTCTGGACCCTGAAGGCTTGCGTAGGTGTCGTCCTGGTCCTACCAAAACCAAACAACATATAACGTCATGGTTTCATGTAACGATATGCAGTGTTTAAAAATAACCTACATTCAGTGACAAAGAGTTTAAAGCAGAACTAGTGAAGAACTCACCAAAGACTGGAGGGTTTCAGATGTGGCTGACTCAGCTGCTCCTGATGTGTTTTCTCTGTTAACAGTGAATGAATGTGAGAGTTAGTTGGAGGAGGTTAGTGTCCTCCATGTCAGGAAGTCAAAAACATCAGAAAATTGTATGAAATCTCTACTGTGGGGCCTTTATTTTCAATATAGTGAATCTAAACTGTTACTCCAGCAGGAAAACAATAAATCCAATAATACAGGGTATAAATAGTGCTATTGATACACAGTAGTTAGTGCTTTATATAATATGATATTAATCTCTTACCCGCGGCATGTTTTTGTGAAGATCAATCCCAGGATAACTCCGATTATAATGACCAATGCAGTCGCTCCAACGACAATAAAAGACAAAGATGTTTCTGCAGAACTGGTGGTGGTGGCATCTTCATCTTCATCTTCGTCATCTTAAATGTGAATTAAAATATAACCAGAAGAGCATTAAGATAATCTCTGTTGCTTACAGTCGCGTGTCTTGTAGTATTACTGAAGGTTATATTGTTGGTTTCAGGCGTCATTTCCTCTACATCGGGTCTCATTGCACCACACATTATTTAAGTATATTCATGATAATGTTACCACACACTAAAAAAAAAAAAGCCAGAATATAGCCAACTATGAATCTTGAAGGTATAAATTGAATCCAGACCTTACCTTCAACAGTGAGATTGAGATGGAGAACAAATGTTCCTCCTCGACATGAACACTCACAGGTGTAGTTCCCGCTGTCCTCTGGTGTTAAATTGCTCAGATGGAGAAATACAGTTTGGTTTTCTTCAACCAGTGAGAATCTTGAATCACACCCATCTAGAAAGCCGAGTGTGTATTCATAAGTGAGATGACATTCGTCTCCCCTGCTTCTCTCTGTGCTGATCAAACATCGTATCATTGTGATGGTTT